GGAAAGGCAAAGCTATGGAGACTGTAAAAAGTTCAGTGGCTGCCAGGGCTTGGGATGGAGGGCAGGAAAGATGAACAGGCTAGCACAGAGGATTTTTATGGCAGGGAAAATACTCTGTACGATGCTATAATGATGAGTACATGTCATTATACATTTCTTCAAATCCATAGAATGTACAACACTAAGAGTGAACCCTAATGTAAAATATGGACTTTGGATTATTATGACGTATCAGTGTACATTTGTCAGTTTAACAAATGGATCACTCTGGTGGGGGATATGATAATGGGAGAGGCTATGCATGTGAGTGTGGATGGGCAGGAGGTGTATGGGAAATCTCTGTATCTTCTGCTCAATTTTGCTGTGAACCTAAAACTGCTCTAAAAAATATTGTCTATTTTTAAAAAGGACTCTCAAAGCTATCAGGAGGGAAAGGCAAATATATTTTTTGATTTTTTAACCTTTTGTTATTTTCTGAACAAAATTGTGGCATGTAAAAATTAGAATATACATAAAAATTAGGAATAAATTTTAAATTGTCCTTATCTCACATTCTATAAGCAACCAACCTGGACTCTTCAAAAACATAATGTCATGCGAAAAATAAGTGATAATTCTAGATTTAAAAAGACTAACAAAACATAACAACAAAATGCAATGTGTAAACCCCAAATACATCATGGATGGACTAAAGAAAAATAACAGCTAAAAAGATATTTTGAGGACCTGGCGGCAATTTGAATATGGTCTACTACCTGATATGATGGACTTATTGTTAGCATTCTTAGGTGTGATAATGGAATTGTGATAATATTGGAAGCTATCCTTATTCTTAATACGTCATGCTTAGAACTTTAGGCGTGATGTGTCATATGATTTGTAACTGCCTTTCAAATGATTCAACAGCAATACAAAACATAAAAAGAGTATGTGTGTGTTCACATATATACAAAGAAGTAAAGCCACTGCAGTAAAATATCTAGTGGTGAATCCAGTTGAAGTTTTTACTGTGATTCACTATAGTATTCATTTAAACTGTCTTTCACGTTTGAAAATTTCCAAAATAAAGAGTGGTTGGGATAAATCCGCCTAAGTGGGAGCCAACATTAACATCATTTTGTTATATTTACATACATCACAATTACATGTTTGAAGCAAAATTGGGATATGTGTGATATGTGTATGTGTAATTACATAACCTCTTTTGACATATTTGTTTATAGATACATATCACATTTTCATTTTAAATAAAATATTTTTTTAAATAAATTTCATAACATATACAAAAATAAATACAAACAAAGCTTCTCTAGTTATCTTCTTTAAACATCATTATAATCACAGCATAATTGTATTAATCAAGGTAACTGGTTGCAGAAAAAATCAGAATCATAATGGGTTACTTCAATAAAAGAATGATTCTCACCTATGTCATAATTTGGTGTCAGTCAAGTAGCCATCTATGCCCCCATCTTCTAGGCAATGACTCAGGAAACAACTCCTTCCATTATGTGACTTTCTCATCATGTGTTTCCAGCCATGTTTTCAAATGGAATGGATAGAATCAAAATAGATCTTATATAGACTGGCCTGGAAGTGGCCTACGACACTTCTGTCCACTGTCCATGGACAACCCAAAGGTGTATGGATTCCACTTGATTATAAAACTGGGAAATATAGTCTTCCTCTATGTCCAGAATAAAAGAGGAGCAATGGAGTGCATCTAGCCAGATAATGCAATAATTAATAATGAAACAAATAGACAATCAGTAAGAAAAAGGAGAATTTTAACATCATTAAGGACCAAATGGGCCTAATAGACATATACAGAACGTTAATCCAACAACAGCAGAATACACATTTCTCTCAAGTACACGTGGAAAATTTTCTAGGATAGAACACATGTTAGGCTACAAAACAAGTCTTAGCAAATTCAGTAAGATTGAAAGCATTTTCTGTGACCAAAATCATATGAAACTAGAAATCAATAAAAGTAGAAAAACTGGAAAACTCACAAATACATGAAAATTAATCAACACTCTCCTGAATAACCAACGGATCGAGGAAGAAATTAATGGGGAAATAAAAGTATCTTGAGAGAAATGAAAATGGAAACACAACATACTAAAATTTATGAGATGCGACAAAAGCAGTTCTAAGAGGGAAGGTCACAGCACTAAATGCCTACATTAAGAAACAAGAAAGATCTCCAAAAGGAAATCTAAGTCAATGACTCAAGGAACTAGCAAAACAAAAACAAATTAAGCCCAAACTTAGCAGAAGGAAATAATAAATGAAATACACAACAAGAAAACAATAAAAAAAATAACAAAACTAAGAGTTGGTTCTTTGAAAAGATAAACAAAATTGACAAACCTTCAGTTAGAGTAACCAACAAAAAGCAGAGAGGACCCAAATCAACAAAATTTTAAATGAAAGAGGAAATATTACAACTGATGCCACAGAAATACAAGAGGCCACCATAAACAACGGTATGCCAACAAACTGGACAACCAAGACAACATGCAAAAATTCCTAGAAACAAACAACCTACCCAGACTGAATTAGGAAGAAATAGAAAATCTGAATAGACAAATTACAAGTAAGGAGATTGACTCAGTAATCATTAATCTATGAACAAAGAACAGACCAACACCAGATGGCTTCACTGGTGAATTTTACCAGACATTTAAAGAATAGTTAACACCAATCCTTTACAAACTCTTCCAAAAAATCATAGAGGAGGAAAACATTTCCAAACTCATTTTATGAGGCCAGCATTACTCTGATGCCAAAGCCAGAAAAAGAACACAAATGGAAAAGAAAACTAGAGGAGTGACATCAGCATCATGGCAGGGTGAGTTGTTCCCTTTGTCTCTCCCCTCTAAGTCGCAAGCAGTAGGACATCCATTGGCCAACAAAGGACTCTCTGCAGAGCACATCTGAATGTCTGAGAGATCTGTGCATCTATATATCTGAAGGTAGGTGGACTGGACCTCCAGGAGGCAATGGAACTAGGGGAGAAGCCCCTCCCTCTCCAGTGGTGGTAGTGATCCAAAATGCAGAGACCCCCAGCAGTGGCAGTAGTGCCCTGACCTAAGGTTCAAACATGGCAATAGCACCAGAGACCAGAGGCTGCAAGAGGAGGAACAGCACACACGGCTTACCCCTTGCCCTTCCCTCGTGGTAGCAAAGGGTGCCCACAATCTGAGGCTACAGGAAAACAGCAGTGCTGATGGCCCAGCTCTCTCCCTCTTCCCCGGTGATGACAAACCAAAATGTGGAAACCCCCAGCAGAGACAATGGTACCCTTACCTGAAGTTTCAAAAAGCACACCAGCACTGGAGGCATAGGCTACAGGAGCAGCAGCAGCACTCATGGCTGAGCCCCTCCACCTCCCCCAGCAGTGGCGGGTAGCACTTGTGACATGAGGCTTCACAAACCACAGCAGAACCTGTGACCCAGCCCCTAGTTGTGGCACCACCAACAGCAGCCCTACCAGGAGTGGGTGAGGCATACAGGACTCCAAGCCCCTGACAGCGGCTGCAACATCTATTAACACAGCCCCCAGCAGCAGTGCCATCAGCACACCCAGGTAACCCAGAAGAAGCAGCAAACCAGGTAGTGCATGGGAAAGCAGCACCCGAGCCCATGGAGAGCCCAAAGAGAGCCAGTTGGGGAACATAAGACCCAGGCCACCCCAGAAGCAGCAGAGATGCTCACAGCCTGGTGACCCAGGTGGCAACACCGATACTGAAGCCACATCATAACAGCAAGGCACGAGCAACCTTGGAAGTATAAGCAGCACAAGGAAGGCACAGAGAATGCCTGTGGAGGGCAGAAAGTGCAGAATCTCAAATACAACCAGAAGCATATTAGAATCAAAGTAACCAAAACTGTACCCAAACAAGAGAGATGTGTACTTCCACAAATGCACTGGCAGAGGATCAACTCATCAAGCACCGTGAATAATTGCAGTAACATGGTAAAACAGACAGAAAATGACAACTCTCCAGAAACCAAACTTGAAGTCACAGAAGATTGCAATCTAACTGACAGAGAATTCAACACAGCTGTCATGAGGTAACTCAGGGAATACAAGAAAACTTAAAAAGACAGTTCAGTGAGCTCAGGAATAAAACTAATGAACAAAAGGAATACTTCACCAATGAGATTGAACTCTAAAAAAGAAACAAAACAGAAATTCTGGAGATTGAGAAAACAATTAATGAAATGAAAAATTAACTTGAAAGCATTGGAAGTAGAGCAGACCATATGGAAGAGAGAATTAGTGAGCTCAAAGATAGAAATCTAGACATGATTCAGGTGGAAGAGGAGAGAGGACTAAGATCTCTTAAAAGTGAAGAAATTCAATGAGAAGTATACAAATCAATTAGGAAAAACAACATAAGAGTAGTAAGAATACACATTCTTCTCAAGTGCAAGTGGAATATTCTCTAGCATAGATCATATGTTGGGTCACAAAAAAACTCTTAGAAAATTTAAGAGGATTGAAATCATGTAAAGTATCTATTCTGAACACAATTGTATGAAACTAGAAACCAATGGCAGTGCAAAACATTTCACATTACTTTAGCCTTAGCCTGCAGGGCCCTAGAGTCCCAAGTACAGACTAAGATCCACTGCGTTCTAGACACTATACAGACTTTCTATTACGCTAAATGCATCTGATAGTACAAGGAATATTTATAATGTGTTAAAGTTTCCAGTATTGCAGCCTGTCTTATTTCATTTCAATTGATGTCAAACATCTACTGGTAACAGATTAGAGAAGTCTTGTCATATTCCGTATCTATTTACAAACAGGGAAGGTTGCTCCTGAAATCTATTGCTTATTATCTGTTCGTCCTTTAAAGTTTTAAGTGGAAAGTTTCACATGCAAAAAACTTCCCTAAATTTCAAAATGTGCCTTCTTTTTCAAACTCGCTTTTACAATAGGTTGTTATTGTTCCCTAATCTAACCTGTATCTGTTTCTCAGGTTTGGAAGGAGGTTAATGCTCAGATGGTGTTTGCTCCAGTGTGCCATTGCTGACACTTGTGCAGCCTTTGCTCCCACCTTCCTCATTTACTGCTTGCTGCGCTTCTTGGCTGGCCTTTCTGTCATCACCATCTTGCTAAATGGCACTATGCTCAGTAAGTTAACACTTTTGATTTTGTACATTTTCCAAGCCTTGACTTTGATGTTGACATTCTGCTGTTATTTAAAGTAAAAATCCTGTTTGTGTTTTCTTTCAGTTTTAGAATGGACATTGCCCCAATTCCAAGCCTTGGGAATGACACTGACAGTTTGTTCCTACAGTGTTGGACAGATAATATTAGGAGGTCTGGCTTACGTCATTAGAGACTGGCGCACCCTCCAGCTGGTGTTTTCTGTGCCAGTATTTGCCATCCTTCTGTCTTCAAGGTATAAGCTCTCTCTCAGTCTTAGAGGATCCTGGAATGAAAGATGCATGGAATCAGGACACATTAATTCTGTTTTGTCCTTGGTCAACACTTGAGCACGTGTTCTACTAAACTGTGCAATTCTAGGAGCTGAACAGACAAGACTGACAGATAACACCATGGACACTAAATTAAATGTGAATTTCAGATAAATAACATGTATTTTTACATAATAACATCCCAAATGTTATATGGCATATAGTTACACTGAAAATTATTCATGGCTTGTGTGAAATTTCTATTTATCTGAGAGCTCTGTATTTTTATGTGCTAACAGTATAAAATAGAGAATGGCCCATTACATTCAAAGTTTTGATAAATAACAAATAATATTTTAGTATAACTATGTACCAAATATTGCATGGAACATATTTACATTAAAGAGTTATTCACTGTTTATTTGAATATAAATTTAACTAGGCTCATTGTATTTTTAGGTTGCAAAATTGACACTTCTGAATAAGAGGGGAGCTAATATGACTCCAAGTCTGTGTTCCCAGCAGACAAAGTGTACTGCATTACGGTGCCATCCTCGTACTTTCCTAGTTATGGTACAAGAAAATGTAAATTTATATTTTTTGTATTCCCGAACAGTGGTACTTACTAGATAGCAGGGGAAAGGCATCTGTAGGAGAGGAAAAACTTCATTCTACCCTCTTAGGTTCTGTGGATGGCCTAAGAATTAAACTGACGTAAGACAGATTAACAGAAGAAACACATACAAATTTATTTACTATTTTTACATGTACATGTGAGTCTTCAGAAGGAAAATGAAGACTCAAAAAAGACAATAGGCCAAAAAGCTTATAAAAGTTTTTACACACACAAAAAAAAAACTCTATAAATTATGGGGGTGTGACAAGACAAAGTGGCTTGGGTCGGGGGCATTAACTTGTGGAACAGTTACTAGGAAATATATGGGGAAACTAAGAGAAAATGAGTTATGTTAGTAAGTTTGTTCATACAAGTCAATTTCATGTCAAATCTCGGTCTCTGGTGATAAGAATGTTCTTCTCTTCCTGGCACTTGATGGGTACTTTTAATATGGGAAATTTTGTGACAGACTTGGAGGTAGTAAGGGAGAGGTTAGAGAAATCTTTCTGCATCTGCAGTTTCTCAAGTGCCTTCAGCTCATTATTATCAATATGTCAAATAAACATATTTTCAGTGGCATATTCCAAACCCCTTCACATCTTTGGACAAAGACTATGTGAAAAATGGGCAAGTGAGAGTTAACTGCACCTCTGTTCTGTTCTTTGGTCAGGTGGCTGGCAGAGTCTGCTCGGTGGCTTATCATCACCAACAAACCCAAGGAGGGCTTAAAGAAACTTAGACAAGTAGCACACAGAAATGGAAGGAAGAATGTTGGAAACACCCTAACCCTGGAGGTGAGGAGGATGGGAGCTGGATATGGCATGTAGGGGAGGCATAACCTGACATTTTATGAGTCAGTATCCATAAGAGGAATGGAAGGTAAGATCTCAGGAGTGGTTATAAGTCTTCTGACCTCGCTCTCCTGGTTCTCAATGAGTGTTAACATTGTTTGGGTTAACATTAGGAAAGGACATGCTGTTGCTGAAAGTATTGGACACGTATTTTACTCAATGATGGCAGAAAGCACTGAGTATTTACAATTGTAAAGATCGTAGACTCACAAAGAAAAAATGGGAAAAGGCAAATAAATGAAACCAGAAAAGAAAGAGGAGAAATTACAACATATACCAAGAAATACAAAGAATTATAAGGAAAACTATGAAACTATTTATGCAAAAAATTGGATAATCTGGAAGAAATTGATAATTCTTAGAATTATACAACTTTTCAAAACTGAATCAAGAAATATAAAGAATCTGAACAGACTGATCACTAGTAAGGAAATCAAAACAGTAATCAAAAACCTCCCAAAAAACAAAAGTCCAAGACCAGGTGGCTTCCCTTGTAAATTATACCAAATATTCAAAGAAGATGTAATACATATCCTTCTCAGTCTTCCAAAAAATTGAAGAGCAGGAAATGCTTCCTAACTCAGTCTATGAGGCCAACATTACCCTGATACCAAAACCAGACAAAGACAACACAAAAAAAGAAAATTATAGGCCAATATCACTGATGAACATAGATGCAAAAATCATCAACAAAATATTAGCAAATCAAATACAGCAATACATCAAAAGGATCATACATCATGATCAAGTGGGATTTATTCCAGGGATGCAAGGATCCTTCAACATCATCAAATCGATCAACATGGTTTACCACATTAACAAAAGGAAGAATTAAAAACACATGACCATCTCAATAGATGCAGAGAAAGCATTCAACAAGATACAGCATCTGTTTATGAGAAAAACTCTGATTAAAATGGGTATAAAAGGAAAGTATCTCAATAGATGACTTTTTTATATTGTAGAAAACCCTAAAGAATGCACAAAAAGCTAATAGAATTATCCACCAAAACAGTAAAGTTGCAGGGTACAAAACAATCATACAAAAATCTGTTGCATTTCGGGCCAGCCTGATGGAGTAGCAGTTAAATGCACGCGCTCCGCTTCAGCGGCCCAGTGTTCATAGGTTCGCATCTTGGGTACCCACTGACGCACCACATGTCAAGCCATGCTGTGGCGGCGTCCCATATAAAGAAGAGGAAGATGGGTATGGATGTTAGCCCAGGGCCAGTGTTCCTCAGCCAAAAAGAGGAGGATTGGCATCAGATGTTAGCTCAGGGCTAATCATCCTCACACACAAAAAAAATCTGTTGCATTTCTATACATTAACAATGAAATAGCAGAAAGGGAAATCAAGAATACAATTCCAGTTACAATCAAAACAAAAATAATAACATATGTAGGAATAAATTTAACCAAGGATGTGAAAGACCTGTACCCTGAAACCTATAAAACATTGTTGAAAGAAATTGAAGAACACATGAAGAAATGGAAAGATACTCTGTGCTCATAGATTGGAAGAATTAACATGCTTAAAATATCCATTCTTCCTAAAGCAAGCAACAGTTTCAATCCAATCCCTATCAAATTGTCAACAATATTTTTCACGGAAATAGACCAAAGATCTTAAAATTTACATGGAGTAACAAAATATCCCAAATAGCTAAAGTAATCCTGAGAAAAAAGAATAAAGCTGGAGGTATTACACTCCCTGCTTTCAATATATACTACAAAGCTATAGTAATCAAAACAGCATGGTGCCCGAAGGAAAAAATGGAATCAAGAGGCCAAAAATAAACCCACACATCTATGCACAGCTAATTTTTGACAATGGAGCCAAGAACATACAATGGAGAAAGAAAGTCTATTCAATAAAAGGGGTTTGGAAACCTGGACAGCCACATGCAAAAGAATGAAAGTAGACCATTATCTTACACCATACATAAAAATTAACTCAAAATGGATTAAAGACTTGAAGGTAAGACCTGAAACCATAAAACTCATAAAAGAAAATATAGCTAGTACACACTTTGACATCAGTCTTAGCAGTATCATTTTGAATATCATATCTCCTCAGGCAAGGGACATAAAAGAAAAAGTAAACAAGTGGGACTACATCAATCTAAAAAGCTTCTGCACAGCAAAGGAAATCATCAACAAAAAGAAAACACAACCTAACAATTGGGAGAAGATATTTGCAAATCATATATCTGATAAGGGGTTAATATCCAAAGTATATAAAGATTCATACAACTCAACAACAAAAAAACAAACAACCCAATTAAAAAATGGGCAGAGGATCTGAAATAAGATATACAGATGGCTTTGAAGCACATGAAAAGATGCACAATAGCACTAGTTATTAGGGAAATGCAAATCAAAACCTTAATGAAATATCACCTCACACCTGTCATAATGGCTATTCTTAAAAAGACAAAAATAACAAGGGTTGGACAGGATGTGGAGAAAAGGGAACTCTCATACACTGCTGGTGGAAATGTAAACTGGTGCAGCCACTATGGAAAAGAGTAGGGAAAGTTCTCAAAAATTGAGACTAGAACTGCCATACGATCCAGCTAATCCACTTTTGGGTATTTATCCAAAAAACATGAAACACTAATTTGAAAAGATATATGCATCACTATATTCATTGCAGTATTATTCATAATAGCCAAGACTTGAAAACAACCTAAGTGCCTATCAAGAGAGGAATGGATAAAAAGATGTTGTGTGTATATACACAATGGAGTACTACTCAGCCATAAAAAAATGAAATCTTGCCATTTACAACAATATGGATGGACTTTGAGGACATTTTGCTAAGCTAAATAAGTCAGACAGAGAAAGGCAAATATCATATGATTTCAATCATATATGGAAGATAAAACAACAACAACAACAATAAACAAACACACAGACACAGAGAAAAGATTGGTGGTTACCCAAGGGGAAGGGGGGATGGGGAAGGGCAAAAGGAGTAAAAGAGCACAGGGGTCTGGTGACAGATGACAATTAGACTTTGGGTGGTGAACACAGTGTAGTATACACAGAAGTCAAAATATAATGATATACACCTGAAATTTACATAATGTCATACACCAAAGTTACCTCAAAAATTAATTAAATGAAAATAATTATTTAAAAGAATATTGTATATTGGTCTCACTCTGTGTAAGAGAATGTAATTAAAAGTAATCCATTTCTTTCCGACTAATGTTCAGATGGCCATTTTTCAGAACAGTGATGCCAGTAGAAGGATTAGTGACCATGCAGAATAGAGCGTAAGGAGGTTCTCCTATTCGTTGATTCCCCCATACACTTTCTTTCATGTTATATTTAATGAGTGCCGACCGGTGGCAGGTTTTGTTCCATCCCTGGAAACATGGCAGCGACCACAACGGTCCAAACCCATGTTGTGTGGAGTTTACATTCTCCTTATTACAAGTTCTAAGAGCATGACTGAGTGGAAATGCCCCAGAGAAGTCTTTCTCTTTCTTATTTTCCATCCCAGGTGTGGAAGGCAGATATTGCTGTGCGTCCTTAGTTAAATCATTCTTTGTCATGCACATGCATAAAGTATTTATTGAAAAATTATATTATGTCAGGCATGGTGCTAGATCATGAATAAGAGAATAAGTCAGAGTCCCAGCCTTCAAGGAACTTCCACACTAATATAAGAGAGAAAGATTCAGAGACATTTTTAAATCCAAATGTGTAAAATGATAAGAGAATGTAAAGAATGCTAATGGAGATGAGGAAAAAAATCTGCCTTCCTTTTATTGATAAAGGAGAGGATTAGAATTTGACCACTCAAAAAGTGGTCAGCCTGGTGGCATAGTGGTTAAGTTCACATGCTCCTCTTCAGTGGCCCACGGTTCATGGGTTCAGATCCAGACCATGCTGTGGTATCACCCCACACATGGGGTCCTCAGCAGAAAGAGGAATATTGGCAACAGATGTTAGCTCAGAGCTAATCTTCTTCACCAAAAAAAAAAAAAAAACGGAGGACTAGAACATTTCTGAAACATGTACAGTGGCTTATCTGAAGAAAGATCTTATAGTCCCAGAAAATGCAGAGGTCCTTTAGAATATTTCAAATAATGCTCCTGAGAATTCAGATCCCACTGAAGACGGCTGGAGGAAATCAGGTTTCCCCAGAGGTGAAGCTATTACACAGACAAGAGGGGCACTGAGGGTTCCTGATATGATGGGGAGAACATTGGCTTGTGCTTTAAAAAAAAAAAAAAAAAAGATGGAGGTGGACCTTGAAATTTAAAGTGGAGCTCTATAGCATTTCTGTACTCTGTTAATACATGCTTAATTATATAAAATTCTTTTGGGCTAACTAACTTCTCAGGAATTATCCTTGGTTCAAAGCCCAGACTTGGCATTTTGCCTACCAGAGTGGCCCAATCCAGAGAAGGAAACCTTAAATATTTACAGGGGTCAGGCGGATACAAAAATAAGTGATACTAGCTGAAAGCAGGAAAAAAACAATGCAGAATCAAGGTGAATGGCAGCTGAAAATCACCTCGGTGCCAGTGGAAGAAAGAGCACTTGAGTAGCAGTTAAAATGTGGTCTAAGCAAGAGATTCTGTCCATGAATTGGTAGCTACTACACCTTCATTTGATTTTTGTTTTATTCTGTAAAGATAATTCAGAAATTTGTGATCTTAGTCTTGTTTTAACCTCCGTCTGATGGATTGCCAAACACACTAGCTCAGACAATTCTCCTAAGGTAAAGCTGCTTCACTTTATATCAATACCAATCTGTTGACTGCTCTAGGTCTCCGGGTGGGGTGGCCTTTCATTTCTCTGAATTCCCTTCATCGTGGAATTTTCTATAATGAGCTTCATGGCATTGTTTCATTTGTACAGATGGGATGAGAATGGATCTAATATTATTTAAATAATTAATAAATCAATAACTGCCTGAGCTATGCTAGATACATTTGTGATCTCACGTATGCCTTGGAAATCCGTGTGAGAGAGGTATTATTCTTTCCTCCTACTTCTTCTCTTGATCTTGAATTTTTACCTTTTCTTCTCTTTATTTTTTTGAGGTATAATTGACATATAACATTATATTAGTCTCAGGTGTATAGCATAATGATTCAATATTTGTGTATATCATACAATGATAACGGCAATGTCTAGTTAACAGCCATCACCATAAATAGTTATAAAATTTATTTTTCTTGAGATGAGAACTTTTAAGGTCTACTCTTTTAGCAACTTTCAAATATACAATACACTACTACTTACTATAGTCACCATACTGTACACTACATCCCCATAACTTAATTATTTTATAACTTGAAGTTCATACTTTTTGACCCCCCTCACTCATTTTGCCCAACCCCCCCATCCCCCACATCTGGCAACCACCAATCTGTTCTTTGTATCTATGAACTTGGTTTTGTTTTATTTTTTTTAGCTTCCAAACATAAGTGAGATCATGCAGTATTTGTCTTTCTTTGTCTGACTTATTTCACCTAGTATAATGTCCTCTAGGTCCATCCATGTTATCTCAAACAGCAAGATTTCTTTTTTATGACTGAATAATATTTCATATATATGCATACCACATTTTCTTTATCCATTCATCCATCAATGAATACAGGTTGTTTCCATATCTGTGCTATTTTAAATAATGCTGCAATGAACACGGGAGTGCATATCTCTTATGAAGTTAGTCTTTTCATTTTCTTTGGATAAATAACCAGAGTGGAATTGGTGGATCATATAGTAGTTTTATTTTCAATTTTTTGAGGAAATTCCATACTGTTTTCCATAGTGCTGTGCTAGTTTACATTCCCACCAACGGTGCATAAGGGTTTCCTTTTCTCCACATCCTCATCAACGCTGGTTGCTTCTTGTCTTTTTGAGGACAGCCATTCTAACAGGTGAGGTAGTATCGTAGTATTGTTTTGACTTGCGTTTCCCTAATGATTAGTGATTTTGAGCACATTTCCAGGTACCTTTTGGCCACCTGTACGCATTCTTTGTAAAAATGCCTATTCAGATCCTCTACCCATTCTTAATCAGATTGTTTGTTTTTTGTTATTGGATTGTATGAGTTCTATACATATTTTGGATATTAACCCCTTATCAGACATATGATTTGCAAATATTTTCTCCCATTCAGCAGGTTGCCACATCTTCTTGTTCTTATTCATCTTCTTTTTTAAGTTTTTTAATTGATGTTGTAATAGTTTATAACATTGTGAAATTTTGAGTTGTACATTTTTGTTTGTCCATCACCATATATATGTCTCCCTTCACCCCTTGTGCCCACCCACTACCCCCATTGCCCCTGGTAACCACAATACAGTTTTCTCTGTCCATGTGTTGGTTTATATTCTTATTCATCTTTTTAACGACAAGGAAATTGAGGCTTAGAGATGCCCTGTTACCTTTCTCAAGGTACACACCTAGCATGTGGCAGAGCCAATGTATAATGCCAGGTTATAAAGTTGGGGCATAAATCATACTATACCAAGATATCCCCTGATGTCATCCTCAGCTATCTTATTCACGGAGACAAAACATATACCAAAATTTCCCTGAAAGAAGCTGACCCAAGGACCAGAATAAAGGCTCTCAGGAAATTATTCTCCTTCCTGAAAAAAAAAAGTATTTTTCTACTAAGAGCAGCCAGCTAAGAACCAAGCTCATTTGCCAGACCCTTCGTGCCCTTCTGGCATAAAGGAAGCTTTGGACCATAATCCAAGCAACTCTTCATTTAGTCCCCTTCCTGATCTAAATCTTTAACATACACACCAGTTTTGATGCCCTGCAGCCAAATTGAGTCTCATGTTAAAATGTCCTTGTTGCTACAGAATTTCCCTCAGGCGCCTATAACTCCCTAATTCAGCTTTCATACCACTTTTACACCTGTCATTGCATCTTCCATGGCTATATTTTTCAGTGGACGAAAAGAGAAGTCATCTCTCTTGACCTCTGTTGGGGGCTTCACAATGTCTACCATTTTGTGACAACTGAGTAGTTTGCTGTTGTTATTGTTGTTGAAGGTTTTGAGATCCACCATGCAGGAGGAGCTGGAAGCAGCACAAAACAAATCTTCTCTGTATGACTTGTTCCGAACACCCAGCATGCGTAAAAGGATGTGTGTACTATCCCTTATGAGGTAGGCTTCACATAGTACACGAGGAATGTTGAAATAGTGAAGACGTGATTCTATATCTTATTTCAAAGTTATAACATGCTATAGGGACAGACTTGAGATAAAACATGAAGAGGTAATAAAGATAACTGTTATGTTTGGAGGTAGTGAAAGGGTTATAAAGGACTAACATGGAGCTAATTGTACAGTTAGGAGTTTTGTTATCACATCCCTCTACTAGGCTCATCACTGGAGATGAGGCTGAGAACTTCAATCACAGTACAGCCTTTGGCTTTACGTTTCTTCACTTGTTTGTTTTCATTTTAATTGAGGTAAAATTACAAACAGTCAAGTGCTCAAATCTATGCAGCTCAATGAATATTTCCATATGTAAATATATAACTATCACCCAGATCAGGATATAGAAAAAACCCAAGAAGGCCCCCTCATGTATCCTCCACTAAAACACTCTCTACTTCCCAACAAAACTTAGCAACAATTACAGGCTCCATTATCATACTATTATTTTATGATAATTTTTAAATCATTAACTTGCAAGGAAATTGTGTTTAAAATGTTCCCAATATGTGTTTAATCAGGCAAGGTAAAACACACAGACTCAGGAATGACCATCATGAAGGAAGTTTATACTCACAGATCCCTAGAAAGAGAAGGCATGAAACAGCACACAGGGCTGTGCAGGAAGGCACCAGGGTCAAGCAGAAGGCCCAAGAGAGAAGAAAAGGAAGAGTATGGCCCAGAGCCTTTATTGGGGTTTTTGTGGGAAGGAATGGGAGAGGAGTGTAGGTAACCTGAGTAAGCTTAGGATTCGATAGTTTGAATAATTTTAATGGACTCTGGGCTACAGTGGTGTTCTGTAGTTGTCCAGTACCTGGCAAGGGGATGATTTAGGGCAAGGGGAACATTGACTCGGAGTGTGAGTTTGGTAAAGGAGATGGCCGGGGGTGTGGGCTCTAGATTGGTGGTTTGTATATGAAAGGTGCACTCACAGGGGAATCATTTGCCTTCTCTAGGAATTAGCTAGCTCTGGGAAAGGCACACTGTCCAGGATCAAGGCCCTAAATGCCACAGTATCAAAACTACAGAAAATAATAAAATGTAACCAACACAGAAATATTCTACAAATCACACCATGCATCTATTCCTTACACCTACCCCTGGTTTCCTGGCTCAATATTATCATTTGTAGGACACAGAATCTAAACCTGATGACATCTTTCTTTCCTCTTCCTTTCACCACAGATTTACAACCCTCATTCCCTTTTTTGGCCTGAGTCTCCACATCCAACACTTGGGGAAAAATATTTTCCTGTCCCAGATTCTTTTTGGTGTAGGCACACTCCCGAGCAATTATGTTGCACTTTTGGCACTGAATCACCTGGGCCGTCGAGTCAGCCAGATGACTTTCCTGTTCCTGCTGGGAATCTCCATTCTGGTCACCACATTTATACCTCAAGGTAAGAAAAGAGCACACGTTGAAGAAAGAAGATGTGTTCCTCCCATTCCTCATGAATTGTACTGATCACACCTATTTGAAGCCAGAAGGAAATGCAGATTGTGTTCTAACAATACTCTGAAGCCAATCTGAAGGTTTAGTACATATTCTGCCATTAAGTTGCCGGGAAAAGAGCTTAAAGCCAGTTAAGGTTGACTCTGAGATATGATGTATTCATTATATCTGAGAAGTATCCGGAAACTGGTGCCATCTTTTACTGGTAGTTTCTCTATGACAGCAATCGCTCACTTACCTTTGGCCAATCACACTTTACATAGCAAGCATGGAGGGTCTTGTCCTTGTCATTGTATTCTATGTGAGGACACAATACTGTCACTTCCCTGTCTGGGGTCTCGCTTATTACTACAGCTTCAGTGACAATTTATTCTCTGATCTCTATGTATCCACTCATGTGTCTCATACTGGGTCTCCATAGCTGAAATTCTAGTTTAAAGGAATCAACTTGACTTTAAGAAAAAAAATTCCTTCTCTTCAGGCAGAGAAATGACTGCAGGAACAAGGCACTAAGCAGTTAAGAGCCTCTCTCAGAATCTATTTTACTAAATTGAGTGATCATATGTAATGAATAGGGGAACCCAGGTGGTCACCATGCTTAACCCAACTCCAACCACAGTTATGTATTTTACAACATCCTAGATTGGTGGGTTCCACTCTTCATCTTGAATGTCAGCAATGATGCAAGTTTGCTGTCTTATAACAGAGCTCACTCCAATGTTGTAATGCCTGTAATGAAATTGGGGTGGGGGGATGGAGAGAAAGGAGAGGATAGAAAAACGAGTCTCTGAAGCTTTCCGTCAGAGGTTTCCAAAGTCAGGCTGTTTTCCTAATAGAGGCTCTTATACTGGATATTGAAACATTATTCTTGATCAACCTGCTCTCCAGCTTATCTATTAACATAGGAGTTCTGTTCTCTTATTAGTCTCTTCTGCCTGATTAGGTCCACATCAGTATTGTGTAAGATCCTAGGTTTTAAACTCTCAAAGACATGGATGAGTCTTAAACCCCTCACTTATTCATGGATGAGTCTTAAACCCCTCACTTATTGCACACATGACAGTCCTACATTCTATGTGAAGGGCAAAGAATACAGAACAGAATTAATGGAAGAGAACATCTGCTGGAAAATCTCAGATACGCAGGGAGAGTTGATGAAATAACTCAATTTTTTTATTCACCGTAAGCCATAATATGTAGATGTCACATTTCTCACCTGATTAAATGCTGCACATTTTATGCCTCTGTGCAGTTTCTCTACAATGTGTTATGTACTTACAAATATCTCCAATAGGGTCTTTTTCATTTGTAATTCAAAGGATGCTGATTCCTTCAGCTCTTATTTCCTGAGTCTCACTGGTCTCCCTCTCTCCAGGAATGCAGACCCTGCGTGTGGTTTTGGCAGCTTTGGGAATAGGAGTTTCTTCTGCTGCTATCACCAGTTCCGCTACCCATGGAAATGAACTAATCCCCACTGTAATCAGGTACAAATCTCATGGATGGTCATTCAGGATCAAAACAGACCTTTCCCAGATAATTGACACTTATTGGGGGAAGTAAACTAAGACCAGTTAGTTATCAAAAGTAGTTAATTACTACAGTAATAATAATAAAAATTATACCCAAATTTTATCAAAAGCTTTTTGCCCAGCACTAAGTCCTTTAATGTTTCTTCTCCTGTAATCTTCTGAACCATATGAAGGTTTAATGGTACTGATAAGAGCATTTTTTTAATGATCATATTGTGTCTTAATGCACATATGAACTTGAAAAAAATTGCTGGCAAATAAAATAGAAAATGTCCAAAACAAGAGTGTGTCATCAATCTCCATGTCTAAACACACTGATGTGCTATCTCCCGTAACCAAAGCAAAATAATAAATAAAAAATTATACATGTGGATTTTCACCATTTTCTTTGTATTATTGTTTGCACCCCAAGAGCAATAGCTATAGGAATCATTGGAGTTGCTGCTAATATTGGGGCAGCCGTAGCTCCTCTCTTGATGATCCTAACAGTGTATTCCCCACACCTGCCCTGGATCCTCTATGGAGTCTCCCCCATCCTCGCTGGACTTCTTGTCCGACTCCTTCCTGAAACCAGGAATCAGCCTCTGCCTGACTCCATCCAGGACGTGGAAAAGGAGTGAGTAAACCCTCTAACTGTCCCTTATGGTTGCTGTGCACTACAGATCTGTGATGAGGAGGGCAGAACACCATTCAGGGTCATTGTCTCCAGACGAAGGTTTAGACCCAGTCTATTTCCATATGGTCAGTTCCTTTGGTTTGGCTACAGCCTCAACCCTGCCACACAGTGACCTCAGACTCCCCCAAGGCTCTCTAGATCACACGATCCACTCTGCCCAACCTGCACTAGTAGGTTTAGTGGTGAAGAGGCCAAAATTAGGTGCCCTAGCGTGGTATTCACATCCCTGAAGGTATTTCACAAACATGCACAGATTCAAACACCAGATGCTCATCTCCCTGTCCCTGTCAGCCCTCAGCCCAGGAAGTGCAGCCCAGTGTAATGTCTCTGAGACTGCTGGTTATTGTAGACCTGTATAATCTGATTCTGATTCTCCAGAGAAACAGAACCAGTAGGATGTGTGTACGTACAGTGAGACAGATTTATTTTAAGGAATTGGCTCACAGCATTGTGGCAGCTGGAAAGCCTGAATTCTGCAAGCAGGCAGCAGCCTAGAGACCCAGGGAAGAGTTGAAGGAAGAGAAGAGTTCTCCAGCCTAAAGGCAATCTGCAGGCAGAATTCCTTCTTCCTCTGGGGGATCTGCCTTTTTCCCTTAAGGCCTTCAACTGATTGGCCGAGTCCCCCAACCCCCATTTTGGAGGGTAATGTGCTTTACTCAAAGTCTACTAATTTAAATACTAATAACATCTAAAAAATACCTTCACAGAAACATCTAGACTGATGTTTGACCAAACATCTGGGCACTATGACCTAGCCAAGTTGACAGATAAGATTAACCACAAGACTTGAGGAGAACCCTGTCACTGAAGAATCTGAGGAAGATGAGGGACAGGACAGGAGCCCCTCCCACAGATGTCAATATATCTCGTGGGAAGGAGTCCTGTTGTGCTGCCTGTGAGATTCAGACCGTCTTGTTTTCCCTGGGAAGGAAAGTGTTGAGAACAGAGATTTTAAAGTGATGAAGAATGGGAAAAAATTCTCAAACTTTTCTCTACCTCCTTTGCCTTATCCAAAACCCCCTCTTCCAATGCCATGGTGTCCAAGGCTGAGAGTACAGACTATCAAAGCTGTTTTCCCAGATCCTGCAATGGGAGCTGGGTCTTTTCCTTCACAAGATTGACTCAAAAGCTTGGGGAAGGGGGTCACAGTTTATACCAAAGCTGGTTAGTGAAGGATAAGCTTGCTCTAAAGAAGGCAGAACATATCTGTTTATTCCATGTCTTTTCATTTTTTGCGTTGATTTGTTTGTTGGTTTCGTTGTATTTTTACCAGGAGAAAAGCAGAGCAAGAAGATATTTCTATGAACGTGACACCGTTGTAAGGAATTCCAGGACCTAACTGCTGATTCAAGTGCAAAATAAAGTGGAAAAGAAGATAATTCCTCGCAAAAGAAAATTAGCAAAATAAATACATAAAAATATATAATGAAAAAATGGATATTTTAAAATTGCAACATTAAATTATTAAGTGTAAAGTAGTTAACCATAATAAAAAATGTGAAGAAACCATAATGTTTTAAAAGAATTTAGAACATTTGCATAACTGTGGATAACCAGCATGTTTCTGGATAGGAAATTTGATTAGTACTAAAAATAACAATTCTTCCCCTAATTAATTGGTAGAATAATTGACTTAATTATAATGAAAAACTACATAGTTTTAGAAGAATTTAAAAAATAGATGCAAGTCTATCTAGAAATTACAAAGAAACAAAGTGATTCTAAAAAAGAGGATCAGGGAGTGATGTGAGGCTAGTTAGTGTATGGGGTATCATATGCGGACTTTATTATAGCTGCAATAGTCAAAACATTAAGAGCAGATGCATTTACATATCAAAGGAAGTCAAGAAACACACCAAAGTAAATATAACACCTAATATATAATTTTGGCATCATAAATCACAGGGCAAAAGAAATGATTATGCAACAAATAGCATGAATACCTATTTAAAAATAAATGACTAATAATGTGATTTCATACCCTACACCAAAAAATATTCTCTGTTAATAAAAAGTTAAATGGATAAAAAAAACTAAACCTTTCATTAGAAAATTTGGGTTTTGAGATAAAAAAGGTTTTGAATAGTAAAGCAAATGTCAGAAATTTAAAGACAGGTAGATTTGCATAATACCCATTTAAAGCCTCTGTTGGGCTAAATCTTAACAACTTGTCAAAGAAAACTAGAAAAACATTTACCAAAATGATAAAAGCAGTTAATTTTTGCTGGTGAACTTTTAGGTGATTGTTACTTTATTCTTTGTAAGATTATGTATTCAAAGTTTAAACAAAGAATATGTAAAATTCCAAAATACTATAAGATGTCAGAAATGAAAGAGCAAATGACAAAATAGTTTTCAAAATGTACACTTAATATGTAGAATTCTCATAATATCTACCCAAAAAATGATAAATAATTAAATAGAAAAAGGGTAAAAGGCAGAATATATCATTTTCAAAAGAAAAAAGCCACATAGGCAATAAATTTATGGAAAATTGTACAAACCCACTGGAAAACAAAGACAGAAACTCAAACGAAAGACCAACTTAATTAATGTGTGCTCAGGTCAAGGTTGATGAGAGAGCAGTTAAATAGAAACTCATTGATTGATAGTGGGATTATACGATAATTCAAGCTAAAGAGCTGCTAAAACCGCAGTCTGGCATCATTACCAAGAGCTTTAAAATAAACACTCATTAATTCAGCAGCCATTTATTGAGCATGTAGTAACTACCAAGCAGTGTGGTAACCACTCTGCACATGAAGATGAAAGGAAAAAATAGACATAAAACAGATGGAACAGGTATTCCTCTTAGTACACAAGTGCAGATGTGGTCTGCCATTTTTATTTTCTACAACTCAACATAATTTTAATTTAAGTTCCCATTTCCTCCAGATTGGAAGTAAATCACAAGTCAGTTAGCTGTGGGGATTATTTCCACACTCTTTCCCTACCAGAACTATGATCCGATAGGCACATGCAATGCCACAGTGATGAGGTGAGAACAAGAAAGGGCAGCCACTGGCTATCAGTTATCTGTGCAAAGAGGTTACCAGGTTAATACTAGCCCTGTACACAATTCATTGCTACAACTTCCCATTCACCACATGAGACATTGGAATCTGGGGCTTCCAGTCTGACTGATCAGCTCTCTACGCAGCCACTCTGCTTGGGACTTCTGCTTCTCTGGGGCACTACCATAGGTCAGAACTGGGTATCTCTCTCCCATAACCCACAGACCATCCCCTGATTTCACCTCTTCCCAAACACTCAATTTCCTTCCTCTTCTCTCATTACCTCTTACAGAGACCCTCTAGTTCTCCTACAGACTTTAGATTTTGAAAAGAAAGTCAATCAATCTTACAAGCTTCTTCTGCTTTTATCCTTCAAAGTGACCCAAGATACAAAGAAGCACAAAAATGACAAACTATAGAATGTGGGAAAGACACAACAGAAATTTTGAGGAATCATCCATCGGGAATGTCATTGGCTTATCCAGCCACATTCTTCCGCCTAATGAAATATTTGAGACCCTATCATGAAAAAGACCAGGTAGAATCTATTGTTGTGCACCTTGAAGAATAGTGGCCAGTCCATAGATTCTGGTGTTGCTGGGGGAGAGCGTCCCACAGTTGTTCTTGTGTGTTTGATGTTATAAACCAGCAGCTGTGCTCCATGAGATGGTCAGTGGTGCAGGGATTGAAAAAGAGTGAGGTGGGGAGTGACATCAGGGAACAGTTGGAAGGACCAGAAATCCATCTTTTCACGTGGACAAGAAAAGTACTGGGAGAAAACTTTCTGGTTAACTATTCTAGAAATATGCAGTCTATTCAAAGCCACCAGCTCCCAGGTGCTGATAAATCGTGATTAATTTCAGTCAATTTCAATCATTACCACAGTAGTGGCTAACGTCCACACACACTCATCACTACGGCAGGGAACCATACCCACATTCCTGGACCAGTTTGAGGGAGCCAGTGGGGGCAAAAAGGACCTTGTCCTTCAAACATCAAGGATCCGTGTTCTGATTGCCACTTCTGATCATAGAGGTACCGACACTGAAGCAGGTTGCCATTGTTGTAAACCCGACAGGCTGAAGCAGCTTCAAGAGATGTAAGGAGAAAGCACTTTTTTTTTCCTTCTCTTTCCCTTTTTCCTTTTGGGTGCTATACATTTATGTACTAGAACAATCAAAAGCAACCACATATACAGGGAAATTTAGAAGTCACCACTCATGCTCAGGTAAAGATTCAGGCTCAGAGTAGAACTGAGAAGACCTCAAGATTACATCTTAGGTTGATCTTTGGCACAGAGACACCCCGTAACAATTTTTAAAGAAAGAAAACCCTGGGAAAGGCAGAAAATCTGACTTCCATTTTTACCACATTAAGATTCAAATGTCAAGTTTTCAACAAAAAATCATGAGACACAAAGAAAGAGAAATCTATTACCCATTCAAAGGAAGAATATAAATCAACAAAAACCATCCCTGAGGAAGCCCAGTGGATGAATTTACAGGATGAAGTCTTTACAACAACTGTCTTAAGATATGCAAAGAGCTGAAGGAAGACTTGACAAAAGATGGGAAAATGATGTATGAACAAAATAAAAATATCAATAAAAAGTTTTAAAATATAAGAAGGAACTAGACAGAAATTATAGAGGTAAAAATTACAATAATTAAAAGGAAAATTTCCTTAGAGGGGCTCAAAGCCAGATTCTTGCAGGCCATAGAAAGAATCAGTTAATCTAAAGATAAGACCACTGAAATGATCAAGTGTTGGAAATAGAAAGACAAATATTAGGAAAGAAGAGAAAGAGTCTAAGAGACCTGTGCAACACCTTCAAGATAACCAATAAATGCATTGTGAGAAATCCAGAGAGAGTGACAGAAAAAGAGGCAAAAAACATATTTTAAAAAATAATGGCTTAAATTTTCTCAAATTTGATGAAAGACATGAATCTACAAA